CAGTCGCTCACTGCAACAGTCGCCATATGTGCCACACACATGGCAAGTGTATATTTGATGCATTAAATGTTGTCAAAAACTACTACATTAATACATCAAATAACTACATGCCATGTGTGTGCCACATAGGGCGGCTGCTGCAGTGAACGATCGCAAGTAACATTATTCATCCATTTATGAAAGTAGTACACATGTCAAATCGTTGACAAGAAAAAATGAAAACATTTCTTAATTAGACCACTTTAGATAGCACGTTTAGCACAATTAGGAATGTATCAAAAAGTTTAAAGAAACTACATTTCATGCATCCAAATGCATCCTGATCATATTCTTGTCGATCCCTTTCGGATTTGCTACATCTTGAAGGAGATTTAAGTAAATTTACTACTATACCCAAAATTTGAGAGTCCAGAGCTTCATTATCTTCCATGAACGCATAGATAAGCGTTTCAGCATATTCCCTTATCCTCGAGCACAAGGCAATTCTACAACCTCTAACATCACTTGCAATCACCTCCTCTAGTCGACGGTGGAGAGACATCCCTTAAGGTATACAAACCCCGTATTGTTCAAATCATTTTCTATTAATTGCTGGACCAGATTTTTGTACATTGCCTCTCTAATGCCAAGTACAGGAATAACCTGCTCCATTAATGTCATAAAGTTGTTGAAATTATTGTTCAAAATTAATAAAACAGATTTGGAATGAAAAATAGACTTGGAAGCCAAAAGTTTGCACTATGCGACCGCATAATCCAAGAGGGATGCGGTCGCATGTATACATGCAGGGTTTTGAGGCCCTGCAGTTGAGTCTTCTATGCAACTGCATAGAATTGATCTATGCAGGCTGTCTCGGAAGTTTAAAAAATAGTCGTTTGGCTGACTTTCTTATTTGAATTTTTGGCGACTTTTGGTGCAACTTTTCACATATTTTTGACACCATTTCGTGGGTATTGATTGAAACCAAATTACATTAAGGCCTTATTTGTTCTACATTTTTTCCCCATTTGTATAAGAATTGTGACAGTTGCACAGAGTTCTAGCCAACATTTTTGACCAAAATGTGTGATAATGGGGCCCAACAGTTTGAAAAGACGATCTGAAAATTTCTACTAATTAGAAGAAAACGTAGAACAAATAGGGACTAAAAATCATTATTGAAATCATTTGAAAACATTAAGTGTTTTTCTATTACAAGACTTGATAAAATCCTACAAACCATTTGTGAAAAAACCCTTTAAGCACCAAATTTCAATTCGAGATGGGACAAATATCGTTTGAGGACAACAATATAATTATCGTGTTTAGGTATTTTAATTCTTCTTTGATGATCACGATTATTTGTTTCTGATTTCTTCTCCAATCCCTTCAAGTGGAAGATCAATATTTTCCTACAAAAGCCACCTTCCACATACCTCTCAGGTGCATCAGAAGCCGTAACTTTTACCAGCTTGGATGATTGAACTGACCTCTTACTTATCTACGTGTTCACATTCTTACTTTAACCTCCGCAAACATTTTGAAGATTTGAGCTAAACTTGATTCTGTGACT